AGGAGGAGGAGGAGGGGAGGGGGAGGAGGAGATGGAGGAGGAGGAGGAAGGAGGAGGAAGAAGAAGACGGGTCGCCTAAGCCCTTCGGAGAAACCCTCCAGGAGGGGCACCCCGCCGTGCGCCGACCGCCCGACGAGGTGCGCACAAGAGCCTCCTGCCCGAGCTGCTGCACGACCAGCACGGCCCCGCCCTGCACTCCCCCGCCCCCGCGCCCGGCGACGCCGCGGGAACCCCTCGCGTCACTGCAGGGGAGACAGCGCCGCACGCGCACGGTGGCGGAGTGGAGCGAGGGCCACGACTTCCGCCGCCCCGTCCATCACCAGCCTGGAACACATCCTTATTTCTATGCTGGGCACCTCCTCATCACGATGCCAACCTCAGGGAGTCCCTTATCTTTTGAGGGCGAGTCCCTAAGATTGTCATCGCCTTTTGGCATGTCGATCTTAGGGATAGGGATACGTTCGAGGCTGGTAACCGTCTAGATCCCTGGAAGGGGTGCCTGGCGTGCCAGACTTTGAAGGCGCTCGGCCCCGCAAAAGGCGCCCCACCGGTCCGTGTTGGCCCATGCCGAAAATGGCCCTCGCAGCCTGCACAGAACCGATTTCCAACCAAATATCGTCAGCAAAGCCACCCAAGATGGCCGCAAGACGGTCCAAGAGGGCCTCAGGACGGCGCAAGAGCCTCCCAAGATGACCCGAGGGGGCTCCAATAGGAGCCCAAGTCCCCCACGATTCCAAGAAATCACATGCTTTTGCTATTGGAGTATACTCGCCTCTTCGGCCTTCAAACACTCAAGTCGGCCCAAGGGAGCCCCAAGTTCACATCAAGAAGGGCCAAAGGCCCCAAGGTCGGCCCGAGTGGGGCCAAAATGGCCCAAGAGAATTCCGAGGCGTCCCGGTCCTCCGCGAGGCTCCAAGATAGCCCCAAGACGGCCGAGGACGGCCCCAAGACGGCCCCAAAAGGCAACCAATACGGCCTCGATGAGCCCCTGGCGACCAAAGAGCGCCCCAAGACGGACCAAGAAGGCCCGAAGACGGCCCAAGAAGGCCGCAGGAAACAACCAAGAAGACCCAATGGACTCCCTCCGTTTCCTCCTCCCCGCATCCCCCGACTCCTCCTCCTCCTCCTCCTCCTCCTCCTCCTCCACCTCCTCCTCCTCCTAATCCTCCTCTTCCTCACCCATCATCATCAGCAGCAGCAGCATCATCGTCATCAGCATCAGCATCAGCATCAGCATCAGCATCAGCATCATCATCATCATCATCATCATCATCATCATCATCATCATCATCATCAGCAGCAGCAGCAGCATCAGCATCAGCATCATTATCATCACCATCATCATCAGCATTATTATCATCATCAGCATCATCAGCATCATCATCATCAGCAGCAGCATCAGCATCAGCGACGTCATCATCAACAACAACGACAAGAACAGCAAGATTATCATGATCATCAGTATCATCATCAGCATCATCATCACCATCATCATCAGCATCATCATCGTCATCATCAGCAGCAGCGACACTATCATAACCACCACCACCATAATCATCATCATCATCATCATCATCAGCAGCAGCAGCAGCATCATCAGCATCATCGTCATCATTAGCATCATCAGCATCATCATCATTAGCATCATCAGCATCATCAACAGCCTCATCAGCAGCAGCATCGTCATCATCAACATGTGCATCAGCATCATCATCATAATCATCAGAATCATCATCCGAATCAGCATCGTCATCATAAACATCATCATCATCATCAGCAGCCGCAGCAGCACCATCATAACCACCACCACCATAATCATCATCCTCATCCTCATCAGCATTATCATCAGCAGCCTCATCATCCTTATCATTAGCATCATCATCAGCATCATCATCAGTATCATCAGTACCAGCATAAGCATCAGCATCGTCATCATCATCGTCGTCATCATCATCGTCATCACCATCATCAGCATCAGCATCAGCATCACCATCATAGCCAACAACAACAGTTACAACAACAAACTTAACAGCATCATCATCAGCAGCAGCAGCATCACCAGGAGCAGCATCATAATCATCATAATCATCATCAGCATCATCATCCGTATCATCATTCTTGCATCATCAGCATCATCAGCATTATCTTCCTCCTCCTCATCATTATTATCGTCATCATCAGCATCATCATCAGTATCATCATCAGCAGCGGCATCACCATCATCATCAGCATTAGCATCATCATCATCCGTATCATCATTCTTGCATCATCAGCATCATCAGCATGATCTTCCTCCTCATCATTATTATCGTCATCATCAGCATCATCATCAGTATCATCATCAGCAGCGGCATCACCATCATCATCAGCATTAGCATCATCATCCGCATCAGCAGAAGCATCATCCTCATCATCCTCATCATCGTCATCGTCATCGTCATCGTCGTCATCATCATCATCATCATCATCATCATCATCATCATCATCATCATCATCATCATCATCATCGTCATCATCCCGCCCCAACCCACCCCCGTCCCCCTCCTCCTCCCCCTCCCCCTCCCCCTCATCCGCCCCCTTCCCCCATCCTCCTCCTCCTCCTCATCCTCCTCCACAATGACACAATATGAATACTACTCTCCTCTCTCCCCTGGTGGCGTCCGGGATATATTCGGCCCCCCTCCGCGTTCTGTTTTTTTTACACACAGGATTCCTGAGAATCGGGTTTTCGCTTGGGTTTCTTCAAAATGCCGCTCTCACGGAAGCGCTGGCTTCATTTTCGGGCTACTGCTCGTTCCGAATCGTGCTCCCGCTGCAGCGCTGGCCTCACTTCCGCGCTTCCGCGCGTTCCGAATCGTGCTCCCGCTGCAGCGTTGGCGTCATTATTTCCAGCGCCATGCCACGACATGGTTTTCGGTCCGTCCAAATAAGCTCCGAAATCTAAAAATGCCCCACCACCGAAAAGAACCATCGGAAGTGATTACTCATTCGGTGTCGATTCGTTGATTGTTTGGGCCGCAGAAGCCCCACAAAATTTGGGGCGTCGCCACGCCATGCTATGTCAGGCTACGCGTCCTCATTTCCGCGCTTCCGCGCTTTGTTCTTTCAAAATGCTGCTCTCGCTGAAGCGCTGGCCTCATTTTCGGGCTACCGCTCGTTCCGAATCGTGCTCCCGCTGCAGCGCTGGCCTCACTTCCGCGCTTCCGCTCGTTCCGAATCGTGCTCCTGCTGCAGCGCTGGCGTCATTATTTCCAGCGCCATGCCACGGCATGGTTTTCGGTCCTTCCAAATAGGCACCAAAGTCTAGAACATGGCCTCCCGAAAAAAACATCAGAAGTGATTATGCAGTCGGTGTCGATTGGTTGAGTTTCTTGGAGCCGCAGAAGCCCCCCCCACTTTGGGGCGTCGCCACGCCATGCGCTGTCATGTTACGCGTTGATCTTCGACACCATGCTGTGCCACGCATTATTGCTATGCCATGCTGCGACATCCGATTGCGCGAACAGAATGGAGGTCTACGCCATGGTAAGGGATGGGAGGGGGGGTAGGACGTCAGGTATGACGCGAGCGCACCTATAGGGGAACAAAAAGTGGCATAAACGTAAAAACTCGGAGGTCCGCGCGGATTTCTCAGATCGGCGCTGGACCCCCTCCCTGGCGCGCGGAGCGCGCCAGGGGCGGCGCCGGAGGCGCCGCCGGGGCGCCCCAGCGCCGATCCCAGAAATCCGCGCGGACCTCCGAGTTTTGATGCTCATGCCACTTTCTGCTCCCCGAACCTAGCTTGACAATTACTCAAGATGAATACTACTCTCCCTCTTCCCCTGATGACGGTTTGAAAGTATTGCCCCACCCCCCCCGGCGTACTGTTTTTGCTACACACAGGATTCCCCAGAGTTGGGTTTTCGCCTACATTTTTTCCGAAATGCTAGGGGGCCACATTTGAACCCTACCCCTACCCCCACGAGTTCTGAGGGGGAGGGTGGGTTCACTCCGCTCGAGAGCTCCCGAACGAAGTGAACCCCACCCTCCCCCTCAGAAATCGTGAGGGGTAGGGGTAGGGTTCAAATGTGGTCTCCTAAATGCTGCTCTCGCTTGTCCGCCCCCCCTCCTCCGTCTCCTCCTCCTCCTCCTCGCCGGCCTGGGGGCCGTTGGCGTGCTCGGCGTGGGCGACTGCGCCTCGCCGCCGCGCTGCCGCCCCCGGGCCCGCAGGCACCGCGCGGCGTCCCGCCCGCCCGTCGGTGCGCTGGTCTTCTTCCTCCCCTTGCATCCCCTCTGCCTCCCGCGTCCTCCTCCCTCCCCAGATCGCTGCGCGATCTGGGAGCCACGAGAGCCCCAGAGGCGTGGAAGCCGAGAGGCCGAGAGAGGCCTCCCCGAAGATGTGCCTGCCCCCCGAATCGCTACGCGATTTTGGATCGCCCCGAAATCTCGTCGCGATTTGGGGGGCAGAAAAATCCTGGGAGCTCCCCCCCTCATATGCCCAATCCTCCTCCTCCTCCTCCTCCTCCTCCTCCTCCTCCTCCTCCTCCTCCTCCTCCTCCTCCTCCTCCTCCTCCTCCTCCTCCTCCCTCGTCTTACCTCGCTCTCCCAACTTGCTCCTCCCCCTCCTCCAGCCTTGTCCCGTCCCAACCTGCCCTCCCCACCCATCCTCCCTCTCGCCTCCCCATCCTGCCGTTCCCATCCTTACATCCCCTCCCTTCCCGTCAGTTGCTTCCCCCCCTGTCCTGCCCTCCCCATCTATGCCATCCTCTCATTCTGACTTCCCCACTGCTTCGTCCCTCTTCGTCCGTCCCCATCCCAACCGCGAGTCTCTCGCCTCTGTGGGCTTCCTCGATTCCAGTTCCCCTCCACTCGCCGCCAACCCCCCTCCCGGCGCGTTCCCCCCCTCGGTCCGCCCGTCGCTCCCTCCGCTCCTCTGCCGCGCTCTCGTCTCGCCTCTCCTCTCCTCCAGGCGTTCCCCTTGAATACCTCCCCTTCGCCCCTCCTGCGCGCGCGCCGTCCCTCTCCTCACACATCTGCTCCTGGCAGGCTTGCTGCGCACGGCTCCATCTCCCATGACGGGGCGAGTCGCGCGGAAGCGAGGCGACGATTCCGCGCGGAGTGCGATGAGGCAGCCGTTTCCTGCCTTCTGCTGCTGCTCCCGCCTCCCAAACAAAGAAAGCTAGACCAGCAACTGTGTGTACCGCAGGGGGTGGCCCTCCCCTGTGGCCGCGTCCGCTGGTGCCGCAGGTAGAGCTCCCTACGGGGTACGATCCGTGCGAAGCGTGTGCCGAATTGGGCGGGCGAGCGCATGTGGGCGCGCCCACCAGTGCCGTAAAGATGTTGAGCCCCCTATGGGGCACGACCCGTGTGGAGAGGTGCGCCAAAATGTTTGCGGGGGGACGCATGAAGGCAGGTGGAACTTCCTACGGGGCACAATCCGTGTGCGAGAGGAGGAAGGAAGGTGGCGCATGCGGGCGCGATCACTGGCACTGCAGGCGGAGCTCCCTGTGGGGCAGGGCCTGGCGGCGCTCTGGTTTCTTGCGGGGCGGAGACCACTGGCTGACGCGGCCTTGCTGGAGAGGAGCCAGAAGTGACACCGAGCATTCAGCAGAAGTGCGATCGAAAATACTGCCAACTGGGGGGGGGGGGGAATGGCAGGGCGCCCAGAAAAGCGACACGGGGGGGGGGGCGGAAGGCAGCGCCGAGACGGCGCAGGAGGGCCCCAAGAGGGCCCTGAGACGGCCCCGGGGGGGGGCCGTCGGAGGGGTCCAGGACTGCACAGCAGGGCCCCGAGGCGGCCCACGGGGGCCCCAAGACGGCCAGGAGGAGGAGGAGGAGGAGGAGGAGGAGGAGGGGGAGGAGGAGGAGGCCCCCGAGACGGCCGAAGAGAGCCCCAAGACTTCCCAGGAGTGCCCCAGCTCGGCCCAGCAGTGCACCAGGAGGCCACCAGGGCGGCCCCAAGGGGGGCCGCGAGAGCCCCAGGATGGCTCGAGAGGGATGCCGACGAGAAGTCCAGAGAGGCCCCGATGCCAGCCCATGAGGACCCACGACGCGCCAAGACGCTGCGGCTTGGGCTCTCGGCCACCAGCGGCGGGGGGGCTCGCCGGAGGCATCTTGGAAATCACTGCGGGTTGCCAATGTTCTCTTTGTTTTTGTGTTCCTCTCTCTCTCTCTCTTTCTGTCTCCCTCTCTCTCTCTCTCTCTCTTAACACATCTCATCCGCCCCCAGATGCGCATGCCCTTTACACTCACTTCAGCATACGTTTGGCGTCTCTGCAGCTTCACGTAAGCGTCCTTGCAGGATCTGCTTTACGGTTCTTCTATGCTCCCTGTAGCATCCTTGCAACTTGCATGGAGCCTCCCTTCAGAGCCCCTATAACTTCCCTGCGACACCCCAACCCGAGGCAATTTGCTGGCGAATGTCCTCTATCCGTGTCTCCTGACCCCGTTTCTGGGGAATATCGGAACTCCAGATGATCCAAGGAATACCACCAGCACTCTGGGCGAAGCTGGTATAACGAGTTGGTTCCTTTCCTCTTCCAAAACCACTCATTCCCCTGCTCGGGGGAGGGTTTCATCACTGGTCCTTATTGATATACACCCCTTCCCCCACCCGCCCGCCGACAAACCAGGGGAAATGCGGCCACCCCCAGCCATCATTTTGACAACAAATAACCTGGCGAAGGACCCAATCATATGCAGCTGCGAGTGCCGCGAGGGAGATGGGACGAAGGAGGGGGCGCGCAAACTCCGAGTAACGCACGAGGTACAGCCTTCTGCCACGAAACGTGTGAGGGGTGCGCCGACAAGAATCGGGAGGACGCTTGCGAACGTCGCCATTGGGACCTTCCGTGGAGCTCCCTATGGGGCCACGAAACGTGTGAGGTGTGTGCCGAAATTGGGCGGCGATGCTCCAAGACGGCCCAAGAGGCCCACAAGAGCGCCCCAAGACGGGCCAAGAGGGCCCCAAGAGGGCCCAAGAGGGCCCCGAGACGGCCCAAGAGGCGCTCAAGACGGCCCAAGAAAGCCCCAAAACGGCCCCAAGAGGGGCCCAAGAGGGGGACCCCACGAACCGAAAACTCTAGCCTTCCGCCCCATGGCCCCAGGAGGCTCCGAGAGGCCCCAAGATGCCGCCAAGGGGCCCCCAAGAGGCCCCAGGAGGCCCCCAGGAGGCCCAAAAGGGGCCCCAAGAGGCCCCAGAAGGCTTCAAAAATGCCTCCGAGGCGCCCCCGAACGGCTTCTCAAAAGACCCGAAGAGGCCTCCCAAAGAAGCATCTTGACGACGACCCTGTTTGGCCCAAAGAGCAACACAAGATGCCAACGAGAGGCTTCCTCCTCCGCCCCCTCCTCCTCTTCCTCCTCCTACTTATCTTCATCCTCCTCCTCTCCTTCTCATCCTCTCCTCCTCCTCCCCTCCCCTTCCCCATCCTCATCTTCCTCCTCCTCGGCGGCGCCACAATGGCCCCGAGCCCACGGCGAAGCAGTAGCGATCATGCAATATGGGCCGGCGGAATGAGCGAAGCGATTCAATAAACCTTCAAGATCGACCCCTGTCACCCGAAGGGGCTCCCAAGAAAGCTCCAAGACGGCTTCCGGGCGATCCACGAAGGCTCCAGAAACAATAGCAACGGCCCAGGAAAGCCGCAGGACGGTCCCAAGAGGGCTCCAAAACGGGCCAAGAGGGCTCCCAAAGGCTGTCCGGACGGCCCACGCGGGGGCATTTCGGTCCAAACCGCCTAAGATTGCCTCCAGACAGCCCCATGGGCGTCCAAGACGTTTGCATACGCGACCACGAGGCGCTCCAAGCAGGCCTTCAGAGTCAAAAACCGTCCCAGTCCCAAGGGAAAACGTACATTTTCAGCATGTTCGCTTCTTGGGCTCCCACGAGGGCCACAATGGCCCAGTAAACCTCCAAGATCGACCTCTGGCACCCCAAGAGACTCTCCAAAAAGCTCCACGACGGCCTCCGGGCGCCCCACGAAGGCCCCAGAAACCACAACAACGGCCCGGGGGAACGGCAGGACGGTCCTAGGAGGGCTCCAAAACGTGTCTAGACGGGCCTCACAGGCTGTCCGGACAGGCCACGCGGGGGACGATTGCTGCGCCCCAAGGGGTCGGCGGTGTGGCGTAAGCCAATGAATCAGTGAGTCGTAGCATGGGTAACGGCCTCCTGGGGCTTCGCGGGGCCTCCCAGGACCTCTGGGGCCTCCTGCGGCCTCCTGAGGCCTCTTGGAGGCTCCAGGGACTTCCTGGAGCCTCCTGGGGCCCCCTCGGGCATCCCACAGCCTGCTGGTGCTTCATGGGGCATCCTGAGAAGTCCTGGGGCCTCCTGTTTGGACGCCCGAAATGGGCACGGGAAGAATGGGTACAATGCCCAACAACAAATGTTGTCCCAAACCAACAGCGGCCGCTTTTGGGCAGGCGGCCTTCTGTCTCGAATGGACACAGGCCGCGGCGGCGTGGACAGCGAGTCCTGTTCAAAACGAACAATATCCGCTGTTGGGCATTGTACCCATTCTTTCCGTGCCCATCCCGTTCGTGCAGATCCTGGGGTCTCCTGCAACGACGACAAACAGAAGAGTCACAGGGGTCGAGACGGCCAGTCTGCCAGCAGGGTCCCGACACAATCTGGGCGCGAACGGGCCCGTAATATGCCGCTGGCGGGTCCCCCATTGGGAGGTCCACATGCCATGCCTGCTGCATCGCGACGACCATGGGGTCCTGCAACGCAATATCAATATATACATATACATGCATCAAATACAACAACTATAATTTTGTTGCGTTTGGAAAGTATCACGTTCGAATAATATCTGTTGGGCAAATATACCGCATGAAAAAAATATTATTTAATCGCTTCGCTCATGCCGCCGGCCCTGGAGCCCTCTTTAGGGCCTCTTGGGGGCCTCTTGGGGACCTCTTGGGAGTCTCTTGGGGCTCCTTGGCGGCGTTTTGGAGGCCCCCAGGGCCTCTTGGGGGGCTCTTGGGGGTAGTCGATTGCGGCTCCCCCCTCGGAGGCCACGATCCTCGTGAGGGGTGTCGAAAAATACCCTCCCCTGGAGTGGTCTGGTGGCTTCTCCCGGGCTTCTCTCGGGAGCTTGCCGGGGTACTTTTCGTTCGGGGGCCCCCAGGGGCCGCTCCGCGCGCGCGAACTAGAAATATTGTTAACAAGTTACCGGAGATCTTAGCACGCCTCTGGCCCGTTGGGCCGGCGAATACAAGAAAACACGCGGTGCTAAATAATTTATGGGTTTCGACGGAGGCTCCAAAAATCATGGCCCGCCAGCCCATGGGTTCAGCTAAGTCTGAGGGACAAAAACAGCCATTGGGCCTGAGAAGTTCCGACAATCTGGGCGCGAACGGGCCCGTGATTCACCCCCTGGCGCGCGGTCCTTGCACAACGAAAGCCTGATCAGCCGTGGAGCAGGGGGGGCTCGCACATCCTGCTGACAGTTCTAGCTGGGTCCTGAGGACCTTTTCTTCGCCACGATTGACTGGCCCACAGCGCTGTAAGCAGGGATGGATGCACCCCGCTGAAGGCCGTGATGGATCTGAAGAGTGAAAGAAGCGCGGGACGGCACCGGTGAGGACCTGGACCGTCCCGCTCAGGGGATGCACAATTGCAGCACGCACAGGCTTTACTGTGCTGGCTGATGCTTTGGTGGGACACCACCGGGTAGATGCGGTTAGACTTAAGTCGGGCGTGTCCCCCTACAGGGGATCTTCGACGAAAAATGCAAAATACCCCAAAAAATGCCCCAACAATATCAAAAAATACTCCAAAAATAGTCACCAAACTATTTTTGGACTATTTTCTGACTATGTTTGGGGTATTTGTTATTTGTCGTCGAAAATCACCCTGTAGGGGAACAGGCCCGACATAAGGCTAGACGCCCCCCTATCGCACTCAAGCAGTCCCTTTGTCCGTGTACGGGCGGCACACGGGGAGGCAGAGGCCGTAAACCCCCAGCAGGAGGCAGGCCACCAGGAGGACGAAGGACGACGCGTACAGCTTGCTCAGAGGATCCTCCAGAGGCACCACCACGATGGCCCAGAAGTCGGGGTAGGTCCTCTCGACATGGCTCAGCAGCTCCGAGAGCGTGGGATTTCCGCGGAAGGGCGCGCCCATCGTGATCCCGTCCTGCGAGAACTTCAGGGCCCACGCTGCGACCAGGATCACGAGGTTGACGATCAGCGAGGCCAACCAGAAGGCCACGTGGAGAGCCCAGGCGAGGCAGCCAACGGCAGATCCGCCACAGCAGCACCACGCCGCGTCCTTCCTCCAGAAGCACGAGAAGAACAGCAGGGACACCAGCGGCAGGTAGGGCAGCACGTACAGGAGAGCGAGGTCGTCCTCGAACCGCTGGACCTGCTCCGAGTCGATCAGCTCGTCGATGGCAGCGAGAGCCTGCTGCGACCCGTCCACGAGGCTGTCGGCGGCCTCGTGGATCTCGCAGTACGCGACGTTGGTGACGTCACACTCCGCGGTGGCGAGGCTGTCCAGCTGCTCCGAGATGCTCCTGAGGTGCTCGGCCGTGGAGTTCAGGCCCTCGGTGCCCAGGTAGGGATCGGTGGCCACCCTGAAGATCGTGCTCAGGGAGCTGCTGAAGGCGCCCTGGATCTCCGCCCGCTCTGCCGAGGTGTTCGCCTGGGTGCCGGCGCCGGGCGGGCTGGGGCACTGCGCGACCGAGGCACCGCAGGCCGCGAGCGCGGCCGCGGAGGCGTTCTGCACCCTCTCCGAGTCCGACCTCAGCCCAGCGAAGCCGAGCTCCTGGTAGAAGCCCTCGTGGAGGCTGGCGGGGAAGTCCTTGAGGGGGCCGATCAGGCTCCTCACCGCGACGGTGCCAAGGAAGCAGCCGACGATGGTCAGGGCCCAGATGGCGGCGCAGCAGGACGTCCAGAGGCACCTCCCGAGAGAGTTGCAGCTGGCTCCACGCTCGCCCATCCTGCCTCTTGTGCGCACAGCGAGGGCCTGGCGGCGTTTGCGCTCTGGCTTCCCGCGGGGCGGAGACTACTGGCTGACGCGGTCTTGCCGGAGAGCCCTGAGCCGGAAGTGACACCGAGCATTCATCAGAAGTGCGATCGAAGATACTGGCAACTGGAGGGTCGGGGAAAGGGGCAGGGCGCCAAAAAAAGCAAGCCAGGGGGGGGGGGGGGGGCGAAAGGTAGCGCCAAGACGGCCCAGGATGGCCCCACGAGGGCCCTAAAGGGGGCCTTCAAAGGGGTCCAGGACTGCCCAGCAGGGCCCCGAGACGGCCCACAGGGACCTCAAGCCGACTCCCCCAAGACGGCCGAATGGAGCCCCAAGACGTCCAAGGAGCGCCCCAGCTCGGCCCAGCAGTGCACCGAGAGGAACCCAAGACGGCCCAAACGGGCCGCGAGAGAGCCCCAAGACGGCCCGAGGGGGCCTTCAGAGGAGTCCAGGACAGCCGAGCACAGCCCCGAGACGGCCCACAGGGGTCCCAAGACAACGAGGAGGCCGGGTCCAAGAACAGAGCTCTCATAGGCGCGGGGGTGCCAGGACCTGGCGGGGGGACCTGGTCGGATTTGGGCGAGAAATCGTCGCGCGGGGGGTCCCAAGAACAGAGCTCTCATGGGGTGTGCGTGTACTGGGGCCTGGCGGGGGAACCTGGTCGGAGTTGGGAGAGAAATCGTCGTGTGGGGGGTCCCAGAGAGACCCAAGACGTCCAAGGAGTGCCCCAGCTTGACCCAGCGGTGCACCAAGGCCCCCGGCACGGGCCACGGCCCCCCCGAGAGCAGCCTGGGCCTGCCGCCAGGGCTGGACGCGCCGCGCGGCAACGGAGGAAGAGAGCGTCGAGGACCAGGGAAGGAGGAGGCGCAGGATGTGGAGGAGCAACGAGGGAGGGGCGCGCGAGTAAGAGCACGACGACGGAGAGGGAGAGCAGGACGAGAAGGACGACCAAAAGAGGGGGGAATGACGAGGAGGCGGGGAAACAATGAGCAGCCCACGGAAAAAGGCAGCGGCTGGGGACTAGGAGCGACGAGAACGACGAGGAGCAACAACAGGCGCAGCAGCGACGGCAAGGGCGCCAGCAGAAGCACGATGGGGAGAAGGAGGAGGAGGAGGAGGAGGAGGAGGAGGAAGGATTCGAGCAGGAGCGGGCGGAGAAAACGGGAGAGAAAAGGGAAAGAACGGCATCAGCAGCCTCATACTTCCTTATCCCCACGAACAATAATTATCGCTGGGGGGGTAGGAAGCTGTCTGCATCAAGCGGCAAAGGAAAATGTACGGATTTAGCGGGCGCTGAAAAATACAAGCCCCACCAAAAGCTGAGCGGGGGAGGCAGTCTGGAGCCCGGACAGGGAACGGATCCACTGAGTGACGACAACGCCGAACAGCACTGGGAGCCCGAACAGAGACGCCGAGTTCGAAAGCACAAGCGAGGCACAAAGGCCCGACATCTCGATCCATCCCCCGTGTAGGGCGACGAGATCTGCACGTATCAACCCTCCCTGGCCCGGCCCATCCTGGACCAGGAGCGGTATACGCCCGCTTTGGCTTGGCCAGGGAGGCACAAATGCGCACACGTATGCACCGATCCTGAGCCCAGGATATGCCTGCCCAAGGGCGGTGGACATGTGCACAATAGGAACTCGACCACAAGAAACCTTCCACAAAAAACCCAACCCTGAGCCCCCAGGAAGTCCATCGACTTTTGGTGTGGAACGCCACGCTTTCCATAGCAAAACCATCGAAACCCAAGAAGCCCAGAGCACCCTGGAGGCAAGCAGGGCGTTTCTTGGCGTGGGTTGCCACCGTATGCGCACGGTGCGAACCGATCCTGAGCCTAGGATAAGCTTGGCCAAGAGCGGCGGACACGTGTGGATCTCGTCGCCCAATCCTGGCTGCCCCACGGGGGCGCCCGACCTCGGCACCGCGGCCGCCCTCCGCGCAGCACACCTCGCAGACGAAGTCCTCCGCGCGGCGCACGTCGCCGGCGCAGTCGCGGTGGAAGCAGCGCGAGCAGCCGGGCCTGAGCGGCGGGCCCGCCAGAGGGCCAGCGGGCGGAGCCGGCGGGGGCGGGAGGAGGGCCAGGGGGAGGGGGGGCAGCAGGAGGTGGAGAGGGGAGGGGGGGGCACGAGGGAGGGGTGACGGCGGGGGGGCAGTGCCACGGGGGAGGTTGGGAGGCGAGGGGGGGGATTGGGGGGGAGGAGGGGGAGGGGAGGTGCTGGACCCGAGCGTGGAGGGGGAGGGGGGTGCGAGAGATCTCCTGCCCCAATACCCTGAGGGCAGAAACTGGCGGCCCTGACCACCGCGCAAGCTATGCTCGACCCGCCCCCCACCGTCACCAGGACCCGCGTCACCATCTACGAGACGGGAGCCACCGCCAACCTCAACACGCTCCAAGAGTTGCGCACGGAACGATCTTCAGGCGGAGCTGGGCTGCGCCTTCCCAAAGGGGGGGGGAGGCGCCGCCCAGTAGATCGCTCGCAAGCGCCACGAGGCCAACTCCAACAACGAGGCCAAACGTGAGCGGGATGAGACCTTATTTGATGCGCTCAAGGCCATCTTCCAAAACCACCTCGCTGGCGTGTCGATCCGAAAACAACCCGTCCAGCTTGGCTGCCCCGGTTCCGCTGCAGGCATGCGCAGGCTCTCGGCGGCCTTCGGCATCTGACCAGCCCATGTTACCCACATCTTCACAGTGGCACGGACAGAGAGAGAGAGAGGGCCCGTAGGGCAGACGGGTCTGCCCCAGCTCGACGCCGGGCCGCGTGCTCCGCTCAGTCGTGCCTTCAGTTGTCGCTCCAACGTTTTCGCTGGTGTCCAACGTGCCGTTGAGCATGTACAAAGTGCCAAGGATGCCACTCCAGGAGCCTCTGGGCACGGCGTGGGCGTGTCCCCAGGTCCTTTTGCCTAGTCCCTGGAGCCTCCGTCCTCGGTCCTGAGAGGGTGGCCTGGACCCCGACTTCCGACATCTCCGGAGGCTGCCGACGTGCCCCCTGGGCTCTTTGCCAAGTGGTGGCACGTTGTCTGTTCGGGTCCAGGAGGGCTCCAGGACGGAGCTAAGGGGGCCCCAGGAGGCCCCGAAGACGGCCCCAGAGGGCCCCGGGTCGCCGAAAGGTCGGCCCAAGGCGCCCGAGATGACTCCCAAGACGGCCCAAGAGACATCCGAGAGGCCTCCCAGGAAAGCCCCAAGAGGCCAAGACCAGTGGTTGTCCTGAGTTTTGTCCTACTCGTCTTTTCGGCTTACCGACGCGTCAAGAAGGCCCAAGAGGTCTCCAAGACCGCCCCAAGACGGCCCAAGACGCCCCCAAGACGGCCCAGAAAGGCCCCAAGGCGGCCCAAGAGGGCCCCAAGACTGTCCAAAAAGGGGCCCAAGAGAGGGAACACGAACCGAAAATCCGAGCCTTCCGAGCCAAGAGGCCCCCAGGAGGCCCCAAGAGGCGCCAAGGAGGCCCCAAGAGGCCCCCAAGAGCCCCCAAGAGGCCCCAAGAGGCTCCCAAAAGGCCCCCGAGAGGCCCCGCAGAGGCCCCAAAACGGCCCCCAAGAGGCCTCCAAACTGCCCCCAGGGGGCCCCCGAGAAGTCTCCCACGAGATCCCAACGAACATCCAATAGGCTACATACCCACAACCAAGTCACAGTGGCGGGCTGGGCGATAGCATGACACCATATTTCACGAGTGGGCCTACACTGTGGCATCCACGCTGGCAAGCATCCGATTGGGCATTACGATGCGAACACCCGACGGGGGCAGCCAAGACGTGCCCCATGCGACGAGACGCGGTCGCAGGCACGGTGACGGGAGGGGCCGCAGACCCTTGAAATCCGCCGCCCCCTTGTGGTAGGGGTGCCCGGCGTGCTAGATCCTGCTGGTTCGGTTCTGGCTCCCTTTACTGGCCATCGCTCGGACGGCCATTCCCTGTGCTTGTCTCGGTCTCGTGCGTTCTTTTTTGTCGCAGGATGATCCAGGATGCTCCTGAATAATCCCCGCCGAGAAAAAGTTCGGCTGCACGTAGGAGTGACCCTGGGCAAGAGTGACCTTTGGTGCGCGGCTTTTTGGGGGGCGCGAGGAGGCCAAACGCAAGCGCGCAAGACGCGAATATCGCAACGAGCGCGGCGATCGGGGGACCCCAATGAGCGCGCACCAAAGGTCACTCCGGCGAAGGCTCACTCTCACGTCTAGCCGAAAAGTGCACACGTCCGAGCGATACCAAGTTTAGACAGAGCTCCCCCTGGAGCTCTCCGGCCCAGGGCGCCGGATGGCCCGCCCGCTGCGCCAGCAGCGTCTCCAAGAACGGCCGTTTCGCTCGGGACGTTTTCAAAAAATCGCGATACTGGGGGATCCCAGCCCAAGACGCCATGGAGCGTTTCGCGCGCGACATCCTCGCAAAATGGCGATGTCGACATCGATGGCCTCATCTTCGGATCTCCCAGAATGACCATTTCGCTGCAAACAGCTCCAAGACAGCCCAAAACGGCCTCCAAGACAGCTAAGATGGCCTCCAAGCCCAAGATGGTCCAAGATGGCCTCCAAGACGGACAAGCGAGTCCCAGATGCCTCGAAGTCCACCCAAGAAACCTCCAAGACTGCCCAAGCTGGCTCCAGGATGGCCCAAGACGCTTCGAGACTCCCCTAAGAGGGCTCCAAGACGGCCCACGAAACCTCCCAGAGATCCTCCAGAAGGCCCAAAGAGACCAAAATCATTGTTCATCAGGTGTTTGAAGGATTTTGGCATTTCATTTGCGTCTATGCGGCCTCCCGAAGGCCGAGACGGCCCAAGAGCCACCAAAGATCGCCCAAAGATCGCCCAACAGGCCTCCAAGATGGTCCAAGAGGCCTCCAAGACGCCCAAGATGGCCTCCAAGACGGCCCTGGAGCACCCCAAGAGGGCCCCAAGTCGGCCCAGAGAGGCCCCCAAGACAGCTTCCGACGGCGTCAGACTGGCCAGGAGGCCATCAAGACGGCCCAAGATGGCTCTAAGATGGCCCAAGACGGCCCAAGAGGCCCTTAAGAGGCCTCAAAGACGGCCCAAGAGGCTCCCAAGAGGGCATCCAGGAAGGCCCGAAGAGGCCAAAATCATT